CGAACTTAATTCCTCATTCGAAGATAATATATATAAGAGATGAATTTATCCATTCTCTGAGAGGTTCTGACACCTCGATGCGTTATAAAAATTGGCTTGCAGTCAACCTAGCGAGCCGTCCTCACCAATAAAGAGATGGTTTACGGACGAGACGCATTACGAACGACTCCCCCGACGAAGCCTGCAGCCCAGGAGCGCCTCACCATGTCATGTCAGAAGAGATCAGGCTAATACTAATGAAACGACGACATGCAGGTATTGCAGAGAGTGAGGAAACACTTTTTCAAGTACGTTAACTGATGCTGAGAAATGATGCTATGAGTCGTTTCCATCCCGTACTTCGCTGTGGGTATGGCTGATAATAAATCAATACTAGGTGCTTTTTCTATCCTGTGAAATTGTTACCGTGGCTGAGCAAATTGATGTCTATGTAGGTAAGTTACTCGAGACATACCATCGAACTTACCGGTTACCGGTTACGTGCATATGCCCGGTCAACTTGGATTGGTAATGGTACTTTGTACGTACTGTAGTAACTGTACCTAGCGATGTCAGTTGTATAACGAACAACTTGAACTCTCAAATAACGGGCGTTAACTGCTTAGACTTGGCACTATTATTTTCACATATCTGAAGGTTAAAGTCATAGTATACTAAATATCTGGAGAGCGACCCGGACTCCGTCAGCGCACGATCGAACCAGTGGAACCAGACGCCATGTCTCTCATCAGTGATCCAGGGTACGCCTGGTAAGGTCTGGATGATCCCAATGGTTCACTCATGCCCTTGATACACAGATATTTAGTTCACAGTCTAAGACTGTCTTATCTGCGTAACGTCGATGACCCTTACGGCGCGCGTATAATCTCCCTAAGCCCATCCTATACGTCAAACTCTTATATTGTCGCAGCATCACTCGCCGATGTTCATCGTTGGCCAGAACTCGAATACCCCTCAAGTCCGCCTATATCAGACGATGAATCGGAGGCTCCTGATAAGTCCTCGCCGGGTTTCCCTGGGGCCACTGGTCTTAAGCATCACCAAACAATCATGGGCAACAGATCGGGAGCGTTTGGCTTGAGAGTATCAGGTCGACGTGCTTCTACATCAAAGCGAGCCTCTCTCATCGCAAAGAGAGCCGGCATACATAACGAGGGAGCAGATGCTCCCGCTGCCCTGCCGCGCGTCAACTTCATAAATGCTAGTGACGTTGATTCATGTCCAATCACTTCAGAACAAACTGATGTTTCACAACCTCTACCTCAACCCGCACTAAAGAAAGACGACCCCCCTCCTGAGCTACCCCCGAAGGATATTCCATTTGTGCCGAAGTTCAAAGGTGCGGCCGAAATGGAGGCCAGGCGCAGGGTACGAATGATGGCGCGCCGCGGCGTCCCAGCTTCTATGCCAAAGATTCCCTCCGTAACGATACGTGGCCTCAATCCCGATCTCTCTTCATCCGATGATGAGGATGGCATGTTGGAAGATGATAACGATGACGATTATGATTTGGTTGCCCCAGGAGACGATAATATGGATGAAGTTGACGAATTTGATCCGTACGGTGTTGTATAATTTACTTGGTTGCAAAGCTCACCGCCTTGTATATAGAGATTTTGCTGCCACCCGAGGCATGCACTCGGACAGCGCATCTGATGGGGTCTCCCTTCTCTCAGGGACCGCCTCAGTAATGTCTGGATCTAATTTATCCACCCTTGGAACATCACCGTTCGTTGCTCCCTACTCCCGAGCACGCTCGCGACTCAGCCCTGTATCTGAACATCGTGCTACGGACAACACTGACGAAGGGTGTCTTCCAACCCTTCATTCCAAGCCCATCGAAACCCACTTCGAGATGATCAGTCCGGTGTCGAAGCCTGATCAGCGATCTGAACCACCACCCCCCAAACACGAAACTCGCAGAAGAGGCGTCTCAATATCACTACCTGTTATCGACGCTCCATCCGATATGACATTCACACGCAAGCCTGTCGCGCCAGCGCTCCCGCACGCATCCGCTCTCACCGCTATCCTTGCTTCATCAGGCGGTCCCGCCAACCCATTCAGTGAACTGTATGGTGCTATATCTGGACGGGGAGAGACGGCCTCAGTAGACGTCAAGGTTTTCTTTCCGCATGCAGAAGAACCTCGTGGTGAACATGTGACTCTGAACGTGCGGAAAGACGCAACTATCGAGGAAGTCATCGGTTTCGCTTTATGGACTTACTGGGACGAGCGATGGCTACCTGAACTTAATGCAGGTGTTAAGGAGGACGACCCAAAGCTCTCTGCAATAGGTTGGATCATGCGCATTGCAGAGGATGACGGCGAGGTCGATGAGGATTTCCCGCGTATGTCCAGTCGCTCGCTTGCCGTAGCAGAAGATTTATCCTATTTTTTCACAGCACCCGACCGCACGGGCAAGATCTCGAAATTTGGTTTTGAGGCATTCGCTATTCTACCTGCAACCCCGCTGCAGAGTACGACGCCCTTTTCTTCGTTTGTCAATGCTAATCATGCCCCTCAGTACAACAAAATGAACAGCTGGAGACCAAGATACAGCGACGGCCCTCGAGAGTTATGTCAGCGCCAAAGAAGCAGGATTCAGGACCTCCAGGCGGCTTGGTGTTGCCGTCCGTTTCCGGTCCTGCAAGCGCGATGTTCGGTACAACTCCAATCTTATCATCTTCTTTGGGTCCTTCGTCGAGCCATGGCCCCCAGTTATTTTTGCGTATTCGCGTTGCGGACACCGCTGATGCAGTCCATATATCCACTACCATCCCTGTGTAAGTTACATTTGGCTATGTTGCCCTCTACCCCACTCACCACTGAGCACAGATCGGCGGGTATGTACATGCAGGAGGTACTCGAAGTGGTTTGCCGGAAGCGCAAACTGGCAAACCTCAAGGACTATGCTCTGATCGTCAACGAACTCAATATGCTGGCGTACCTCGACCGCACGGTCGCTAGTCTCGGAGGTAGACGAGAGCTGACGCTAGTCAAGAGATCCATACTGCCTCAATTGGGTATCGAGCCCGAAAGCAGATCAGGACGCACCACTGACCCGAATGGTACTGGTAACCATCTTACACTCAGAATAGCTGCTTAGTGTTTCTATTTCTCCAGCTTCTATTTCCAAACGGATATCGGAAGTCCCAGAGATGCAACTAAGCACTGCGGCGGACTACGCGACAGCATACAAGGTTCGTTACCCTTCCTGATGGGTGTTCCTCACGGTGTTAATTCTCGACAAAAGAAATACACCATTTACCGCAAAATGCCTATGCTAGCCCGTCAGGAACGCACTTTGGCTATTGATGGTGTTTATATCCATGTAAGATCCTCCATCATCACTAAAGCTCGGAAATGACAGTCTTCCTCCAGATCATGCCATCCACAAACAAGGCCAAAGCGGTCTTTGATAGTGGAAAGACGGTGTCATTCCATATCAAGAGCATCATCCAATGTCAGCAGTCCGCAAAACCGTTGACGCTGTTCAAGATCGTTGTACAACGGGACAGCGGGAGCAAACGCTACGACTTTGAGGCGGATACGCCGAAGCTTGCGAGTGAGTTGAGGCATTCGTTATTGTTGTTCTACCGAACTGATGGTGGTAACAGATGAGATTGTGCAGACCTTACGGATGCTGAAATCCCATTTGGATCGTTCCAGTACTGTCAACCGCTTGCGGCGCAGTAGACAGGTAGTATAAACAAAACATGGGTCCTTGTTTTGTGTCACTGCACCACTATAATTGTATTCAATTCCCTGAGCTTCTTCCCTGCCGAAGAACTCACGAAGCCGGAGACATCATTGACTGGCAAGTGAGCGCTGGGCGACAACTCCGGAAGGTGCGCAATTACTGGGACAACGGATTCTACGAGCATGATCATTACACGAGACAATATAATGCACACACATAGCTGGTAAGTGTGTTGTGTTTCATCCAGGACGATGTGACTTGTGTGATTTCTCGCTCTCTGATGAATATACGGAGTGCTGGCATCGACAATGAGTTCTGCACACCGGGTCAACCATTCCTTTTATCTTATCGAGTGCAGAACAGATCACTTGTCCTAAAAGCCCCTAGGGGTCTGGCTTGTTCGTTGAGCATGCAAATTAAACCCTGTCTCGAGACGTTTAAATGATGGTCTCAGTCAACAGTACTAGCAATGGGTCATTTTCATTATGAAGAGCTATTCATAATAGTCAAGAGGCGGAGGGAGGGATACAGGCGGTTACATTTGGAGTATATAGGTCCCTGACAATAACACGTTTTTGATTGCTGAGCTTGCTAGTTATTTGGCCAGTCATACCTGACATCTCGGAAGAATTGGAATTTGCCTGGCCTTCTGAGCGCGACACGTGCGTTGACGAGGATTGCATTCGATTGTGATAGACGTCATATAGTACGTATGTAGTACAATATGTATTACACCACACATGGAGATATCGTTAAAGACGACGCAAAGAACCTCACCATAAGTCAACAATGATAGGCAATCTGCATGCTTATTCTCCAGCCTAAGAGCCCACAATAATGGACAGATGTCAGGCGAGATTAACGGACATAATTTTCGTGGAGATGAAGCAACGATCTCCTGAATGCGCACTTAAGCTCCACTCGAAGAAGATTCTATAAGGCGCTTGAGGAAGTTTGCGGGCTGTGTTTATGCATGGACAGGCACTATGCATCAAAACGGCGAATCATACGATGCGGTGGTTAAAAAGTGAGTAACGCTTATGAGTCCAGGAATGAGGGTGCCATCGCAGTTGCCGCCTTAGGTCTATGTCGGCGCTAGGTCGAATGCACAGACGCTAGTCCATAGTAGCTGATCTGAACGTTGGACTTCGCGAAGAAATAACGGACTTCTTCGACCTACAGACACAACATCAAACAACGGGAATACATAAATGGGCAGACTGCAGGGAGGTCAATTAGCTTCAATCCACCCCGTTGTATACATACACACCAACACTACCAGTCAACTCGATACAAGATGCTGAAACGTATCGTAGCTCTGTTATCCTTGACGATCCTGGTTGTGGCAAACGACTCGCAGTGCGACACAGGAACTATTATGTGCTGTGACACGAAATCCACGGTAGATCACCAAAATATTGCTCAGCAAGTGATTACTGACCTCCATTCCGTAACAGTCCTCCGAGGCGGTAGAATATTTCGTGCAGGGGGGGATTGTCAAGCGTCGAGCAAAGAACGAATGCTCGGGGGTTAGCGTTGTGGGCACCTCCCAAGGCTGCAGTGCGAACCAGGAACCCCTATGCTGCGAAAAGGTCGATACCGTGAGTGCATCAGTCTTGTCAAAGTATACCCGACTTGACCGTCCTTTCAGAATGGTCTGGTCAATTTCAGTTGTTCGCCTATTAACGTCAATGCGTGATGACCGAGGAACTTGTATGTTGGAATGCGGCGAAGGATGGACTCCCGCAGTTGTATCGACGAGGACTACTGTAGTATCGAGTCTGCAGCATAGACAGATCCAGGCCTGGCCATAGAATTATTTGATGCTATACAGACCCTGAGCTCAGTGCTCACCAAGCAACGCGTGAAGATTCAAGAAGCTAGAGTCTAGACAAACACCTCGACGAGGCAACCAGAATCTGTCATGACACTGAAGTTGAACGCAAAAAGTGGTCCTTTAAGAAAATATTCAGGATGAAAGATTGAACGTGTAGTAGTGCCCATCATGATGGGCGCCGCCACAGTACCCCGAGGATAAATCTCCTAGGATCTCGGGCATGAGTTCGGGTGGCGAATGCAACGATCGCGGTCACATCGTCACGAGACGGTCGCATACGTACGTAGCATTGGAGTAGGGGACCCCTAGGGAGGAGGGTCGCAAAGGTGCGGGGTTTGCCGGAGTTCGCAGCGTTGTCAGCAGCTAGTCACAATGCACGGATGTAGTAGCTAGGGATCATCTCTTCTGAGTTCAGGCCGCCTACACGGCGGACACCACTCCAGCATTGAGTCTAGACTTTGGAATTAGAGTCATCAGTAGTAGTCAACGAATTAAAATCATTCATCGTTAATGAGGTCGTCGGGACCCCGGGTAGTGAATGCAATCGCGGTCACATGACGGCCGCGTCTTCATAACGTAGGCATCGGATTTAGACTCAAATAAGTTGTCGCCGGGTGCTTCTAAAGAGTATTACGTAACCCCCATGTCCCCAAAAAAGGAAGTTAACATCGCAAGCAACAAGGTGCACAAGGGGCGTCTGGACTCTGGTGCCGCATACCCTGGAGAATACAACGTAGCAGGCTCATCGCTCTCAACCCATCAACACGATCGCCACCACTCGCATCTTCGCACTCTATATCATCGCTCTAGCAGTCGCGTAGCCGTGCAACACTGCCAGTTCAAATTTCTCTATTGCGCTCCAAACCGGATGATTAACCGCTTAAGCTCGTCAATCATTTTAACATAGTCTTAATAAGATAGCAATTGACACGCTGTCAACGTGAATCACAATCAGAAATCGCCGTGTCCACGGCGAGGAAGTGATCGTGCACCGGATATCATCTATGTCATCATATCACGCAGCCGCAAGGCTGAGCGGAAGTGTGAAGAATTTTGATTATGGGCACACTGGCGGGGCTGCAAACGCGACATAAACAACCAGGATAAATCTTTCATTCACACCAAATCAACCCACGGATTCAGCGCAAGCGTCGATATCGTCGCACGTCGTGTTCACTAGCGCAAATCGATCGATCAAATTTCAAAGGCGAGAATGGAGTTCTCACCTCTGAATTTCTGGTAGTCTTGTAAACCGTGACGGAGAACACATAAAAGCAAGGCAAAAAAGTGAAAGGGCTCCCCATCTCCCATCTCTGCCCACTCACTCATTCAGCT